TAGCAGAAGAACACAGGCCTCTTTCTTCCCAACAAAAAACTTCTCGCATTAGGTTCTCCATACATTATCTCATCAGTTTAGGATCAATTAAGAAGACAAGACATATCTAGAAGAAATGGCTAAGAACCCTAAGCAAAAGACAGAAAATATTATGAAATTTATGAATTATTTTTATCATTTTTGCCATTTACAAAGAAGAAACACCTAGCTTGTCCACTGTTTTTGGCCTGTGATGATGACAAGTTGAGTAAGCAGCTAACCTAGCTCCTCATCCACTTTTATTAGCAATTTGTATCCTAATTATTTTCTCTTCACCACCTCCTTCTGTTTTAGTTATCGGTCATCATTAGCTTTTGGAAAATAAAAAGTATCGTTCCACTGAAAAGAAAAAGAGGTTGGGGAACTATAGACTAGGGAGTTAATCAAGACTTTTTGAATCTGATGAAGCAACTATCAGTATATATCAGCCCATCTTATTGACGATACAACAGACTGAATCGCTCAAGATGACTGACAGCTCCATTTGCCAGGCAGCCATGTTGAATGGCAGTTTCACTTGCACTCTGTCCATCTTGAATGGCATCTCAACACCAGAAACACCTAACTTGATTGACGGCTTCATATACAAAGAAGGCAAGCCAGGATATCTCTGAGAAGCTGAGGAAAGGGTGTGGGAGAGATGTGTTTTTTGGGTTTTTGTGTCCTCCCCCACTCCTTTTTCAGCCATACTGTGAACATTTCATCATCACTACTAAAAAAGTATAAAATACACACATGTAAAGAAGATAGCACTTGCTTCCTCACAGCTGTGCTGCAAGTCAACATAGTTTTGTGTCCTGTCACATAAAATTGCTTGCATCCCTCTGAATGATATAAAACAGGATCACATTCTAAATTATCATTGAAATTTTAGTTATGCCTACTGAATAGCTTTATTGTTCTATTAACCACCAAAGGGAACTGATAAGACCCAATACTTTTTAAACTTCTTGCTTGAGACATAATTTATATACTATTTTAACAAACATCTTTGACTTTAGATTTGAATTTACTGAATACACAAGGAAGCCAACAATAGGAAATGGCTGCCTAAAATGTTATTCTGAGCCTAACATGTTAATTTAATCCATATCAAAAACTAACATTATTTATTGAGCACCTACTATTTGAATGACACAGTGCTAGGGACTTAATTAGAATTATAGTGACTTTATGAAGATTTCTCAAAAGTGTTCAGTAACAGTCCATCCATAGCTGAATTATTGTAAGTTCCAGGCACTTTCCACTAAGGAAACTATGGAGTTAAAGCATATTCCGACAAAGGCAACTAGGACAGAGAAGAGACAGCCAATCATATTACGTGTGATTTGATACAATGAACTTGGCATATTTTACCTAAAACTTATAGGTTTAAAAGGAGCATAAGGGTTGGTCTCAAATAACTAAAGAACTATTATCTGGAAGAGAGAAGACATTTATTTTTTAAAAAATAAAGTAAAAAATTACAAAAAGAAAACAAGGGCCTATGGTTGGAAATCAGGGAAGGCAAATTTCACCTGAATATAGAAGTGGTTTTCTAACAATCAGAGCAAGTAAAAATGTAATGGTTTAGCTCTTAAACACCATCAGGATTTAACCTGACAAGAATATTGCTGTTATTATTACCAATTATAATTATAACAATAGCTATCTAGTGATTTTCTTGGCTCTTCTAGAAAATATACTCTCTAATTTTCTCTAACAACTTGTAGTATAGATTCACACCGCCCCCTTCCCCCATCTCTCTCTCACACACGGATGAAATTAAATGACTTGTCTAAGATATATATAGCTGAATTTTGATTTAAAGAAATTCTAGAGCTTGGTGGATGCTTGACTTAAATCAGCTCATACTTTTCTTCCAAGTGTGCGCCAATTGAAGTCTGTGAAATTGTTCAGCTATATGAGGAAATATTACAAAAGATTACAGTCTATTTAGTGCTGGAAATCAGGGGAGAGATGTCAGGATACTTTGCTCAATTTGTATTCAATACAAATAATGCCATATCTTTCTCTAACAAATCTAAGGAGATTAGTCCTTATAGTCTCTTCCAACACTAAGAACATGTAGAATCTGTATCTGTCTAGCACTCTACAATTTTTAAAGTACTTTCTCAACAGTTTCTTATTTGACCAGTAAACATCCCGTGGAAGGAGGATGGCCAGTATTAACATTTTGTGCTGCAGATAAGGAAACATAGCAGCCTTTTGAGTTCACTGAGGACTTAAGCTGTAGAGTCCACATTAGAATATGACCTCCTTCCTGTCTGCTGATCCAGATAGAACTCCTTCTACTACGTCATGCCACTTTAGGTCCATTTTCTTTTTTTCAAATGGTTTTTAAAAAGCCTTCCCAGTCTCACTTCTTTTTCTACTGTATTTGCTCTGAAAGATACCAGCTGCTGGCTGGGTGCTAGCAAGTGGATCCCTTTCTGGTGCTCATAACTTTTGACAGTTTCTTAATACCAGATCAAATATATAATTTCCATCTCAGTTTTAAGGAATCCTATAGAATGGCCCTAGATTATTTTTCCAGGATTATTTTACAATAACCTCTATATTAGATTAGTAGGACTGCCATAACAAAATACCACAGACTAGGTGGCTTAAACAATAGAAAATTATTTTCTTACGGTACCATGGGCTGGAAGTCCAAGATCAAGGTGTCTAGGTTGGATTTCTCCTAAGGCCTCTCTCCCTAGCTTGCAAACCGCTGCCTCCTCACTGTGTCCTCACATAGACTTTTCTTTGTGCACCTGTGCATAGCTGGTGTCTCTTTGTGCATCCACATTTCCTCCTCCTATAAGGACACAAGTCAGATTGGATTAGAGCCCACCCTAAAGACCTCGTTTCAGCTTAATCACTCCTTTAAAAGCCTTATCTTCAATTACAGTCACGTGCTGAGTTACTGGGGATTAGTGTTTCAACATATGAATTGGATGGGGAGGAGCAGAGACACAAAATTTAGACCATAATAGCCTCTAACCAGACCTTGCACGTTATTCAGAAGTGCAGAATTTCCATTGCCTAAATAAAACCTAGATTTTTTTCACCACATCATCTTTGAATTGAATATCTTTGAGATGTGATAGGAATTATATATGTCTAGTCAATTCACATATAGAGATGAAAGCTGGTATCCACAAATATTAATTGACATATCCAAGGATGCAGAGCTGGTCAGTTAGTAGAACTTGTAGAATTATCAGATAAAGCCTTAAAAACAGTGTAGGCGCTCTGCGCCTATGGTAATTTGTATCTCTTTTCCTCTTTCTGGCTGAAGTGAGGGTCCCAGTCATTTTTTCCAGTTGGAACCTCATCTGTCCTAAAAGATTCTTTACATGGCACCGCTCAGATGAAGACCTTCTTGATTCTCCCAGTAAGAACGTAACCTTCTCTCTTTAGAAATGTTAAGGTTTCATACTATCATATTTTCCATGTTGTAATTATCTGTGTGCTTTATTCAATTTCTCCATCTGATGTTGTAAGTGTCTCAAACGGTGAATGAATTAAAGCATGAGTCATTTGTTTTCCACAGTAGCACCAAATATCTCGGTTTGCACATGTACACACCAGATGCTCCATAAATATGTATTGCATTAGATTCTTTTTAAACATCATACCTCCTACTATAAAACTGCTCCTGATTAAAAAAAAAAAATGCAGTACTAGGGAAAAGCAAAAACACTTAAGAGAGATTTTAGGTGCTCCTCAAGTCAGAAGCTCTCAGATCTTCTTTCCACCATAATACTTATCATTTTGAATTTTAATTAATGGGTTACATATTTGTTCCTCTTCTCAGGAGTCTGTGAGAAAACTTTTAGGACAGCAACTTTGTCTTATTCATTCTCGTGTCCCTAATATTTAGACTGGCCAATAGTAGCTGCTCTGAAAGTGCTGAATGAGGAAATGAGTGAATGAACAGGCCTCCTAATCACGGGAGTCCAGGATTTAGGTGGGCCTCTTCACGCCGAACGGCTTTGGAGTTAAAAACATCATAGGTATAGATCGCCATCTAGTGGAAAATATACAGCAATGCTATCAGAAAATGGAACTTCTCTCCTAGGACATTACAGTGACATTTTACTGGGCTGCATGTGCCCTACAACTGTCTAACAACAGAGAAGAGAATATAATATAATTGTCATTTACTAATACTTACTACAGCAATACACAAGTCATAAATGGAATCTAAATATGTGTTTGCCAAAAAAAAAGAACTTCCCTCCATACTTATTAACATATATTAAAATTAACCTAAAATGTATCATTGACCTAAAGGTAAAACCTTTAAGCATAAAACTTCTAGAAGAAAACATTGAGTCAGTCTACCCCCAAGCATTTTATATTTTGTGACTTTCGGGTAGGCAGCAACATCTAAATACAACACCAAAGAACCAACCACAAAAGAAAAAAAAATTAAAAAGATAAATTGGACTGTATCAGAATTTAAAAAAAACCTAGTCATAACCTGTGAGAATATATTTATAAAACATATACTTGATAAAGGACTTATATCCAGAATATAAGAACTACCAAAACTTAATAAGCAAGAAAACAAACTACCCAGTAATAAAGTGAGCAAGTGGTCTGAACCAAAACGTTATCAAAGAAGAAAAACAGATAAACATATGAAAAGCTGTTCAACAGTATTTATCTTTAGGGAAATGCAAATTAAACCCATAATGAGATTCCACCTATCAGAATGTCGAAACTTAAAAAGACTGACTATACCATGTATTGGCAGAGTTATATAGAAACTGGAAATTGCATACACTGTTTGTGGTAATGTAAAATAGTGTAGCCACTTTAGAAAACAGTTTAGCAATTTTGTAAAGATTAAAAATTTGCTTACTGTATGACCCAATCATTTCACTGTTAAGTATTTACCCAAGAGAAATGAAAACTTATATCCATACAAAAATGTGTACATGAATGTTCACAGCTACTTTATTTTTCCTTCCAAACAGATTTATTGAACATAACAAAATTCTGTATACAAAGTGACCTGGACCTGCTGCTTCAAAATACGATCCTTTCTTAGTAGTATCTTGATAGATTGGTCCAGAGAATGCTAAGAAGCAACTTACTCTAAAATAAATAGAAAAGTGCCCAATGTCCATTAAATGAATAGCCTAACTGTTGGAACTTTAGTAGCTCTATAAGATAACGTAGGTAGGATCGAGTCCCTATGAAAGGCTGCTAGAGAACTGGTATGTCAAGAGGCGATTTTGTGCACTGCCACCGTGATGCCATCGTGCTTCTGGATCATAATGTTCCCATTATCTGATTCTAGGCACACCACGGGAATATCGGTGGGGTCAGAGGTCAGCTTAGCTGCTTGCTGGGCTAGAACAGATATCACTCCAGCATGTTCATCTGACAGGGTCCCACGGCAGCCCAGATTAAGTCCTTGTGAATCTGTGCACAGGACTCCAACAATGGATGGATTCTTCATTGTGTCCTCCAAGTGCTGCTCCAAGATCGCCTCCATCCCACCACATAGCTACTTTTTTTAATAACAGGCAAAACCTGGAAACAACTCAAATATACATTAACAGGTAAGTGAATAAATTTTGTCATATCCATATAATATTGCATAGCAAGAAAAAAGAAACGAAAATTAATTTATGCTAAAATGGATGAATCTCAAAAGGAGTTTGCTGAGTGAAAGAAATCAGACACAAGAGTGAATACTGTATGATTCCATTTATATAAAATTCAGGAAAATCTAAACTAATCTAAAATCTAATAAAAACTGTGATTGTCTGGGAGTAGGCAGAGATTTCTTAGACAATGACATATAAACCACTAATCACAAAAATCATGAGATAAATGATAAATTTAACTTCATCAAAATTAGAAATTAAAATTAAAATATTTTTCTCAAAGACAATATAAATACAATAAATAGACAAGACAAAGACCAAATAAAAATATTATGCACACATACACATATATACAGAGGGGAAGATTGAGAGAGAGAGAGTTTGAGAACAAAACAGAGAGGGGAGAAGAAAGAGGGAGAGAATTTTGTCTTCCAAATATTAAGAGATTTCCACAAACCAATAATACAAAGTTAAATATCACAACTTAAAAAGATGGGCAAGTTACACATCAGCTAGAAGGATATATGAATAGCCAAACACCGCATGAAAAGATGTTCAACATTATTAGTCATTGTAGTGGTTTAAATGGTGACTGCCAAAAGATTTGCCCTAATCCCTGGAATCTGTGAATATTACCATTTTAACATTCACAGAGTTAATTGTATTAAGGATCCGGAGATAAGAAGATCAACCTGGATTATCTGGGTGGGCCCTAAATCCAATGACAAGTTTTCTCATAAGAGATATGCAAAGGAAAAAACAGACACAGATTCAAGGACAATGTGAAGACAAGAGGCAGAGATTGGGGGGATTGGAGTCAAAATGACAATATTATTCAAAGCCATTTACATATTCAATGTAATCTGTATTAAAATACCAATAACATTCTTTACAGAAATATATCTTTCATATATTGATTCCTTTCTTTTGGATATACACCCAATAATAGAATTGCTGGATAATATGGCAGTTCTATTTTTAGTTTTTTGAGAGATCTCCATACTGTTTTCCTTAGTGGCTGTATTACTTTACATTCCTATCAACGGTGTACAAGGGTTTCCCTTTCTCCACATCCTCACTAACATCCATTATTCCCTGTCTTGTATCAGAGCCTTTTTAACTTTTTTAAGATGATATTTCACTGTAGCTTTGATTTGCATTTATCTGATGATTAGTGAGGTTGAGCATTTGTTCATATACCTGTTGGTCATTTGTACATTTTCTTTTGAGAAATGTATATTCAGATCTCTAGCCCATTTTGTAATCAGAAAATTTGATTTTTTTGCTATTGAGTTAGGTTCCATGTGTAGTCTGGATATCAATCTGTTGACGTATGGATAATGTGCAAATATTTTCTCCCATTCTGTGGGTTGGCTTTTCACTTTGTTTATAGTTTGCTTTGTTGTGCAGAAGATTTTAGCTTGATGTAATCCCATTTGTATATTTTTGCTTTTGTTGGTTTGTGCTTTTGAAGTCTTAATCAAAAAATCTGTGCCTATACCATTGTCCTGGAGTGTTTCTCCAATGTTTTCTTCTAGTAGTTTCATAGTTTCCTGTCTTACATTTAAGTCTTTCATCCATTTTGATTTGATTTTGTACAAGTGAGATACAGTGATCTAGTTTCATTCTTCTGCATATGGTTATCCAGTTTTTCCGGCACCATTTATTGAAGAGACTACCCTTTCCCCCAAAAAAAATCCAAAACTCATACAGAACCATAAAAGGCCCCAAATAGCCAATACAATACTGAGCAAAAAGAACAAAGCTGGCAGCATCACACTACCCTGACTTTAAAATATATCAAATATTAAAAAGCTACAGTAACCAAAACAGCATGCTACTGGCATAAAAATAGATATGTAGATCAATGGAATATCATAGATAATCCAGATATAAATCCATACATTTACAGCCCACTAATTGTTGGCAAAGGTGTCAAAAACACACAATTAGGAAAGCCGTAAGGACTCACACAGGCAAATACGAAGATAAAGCATTAAAGCATTAAAAGAAATTCCACACAAATGAAAACCAAAGCAAGCAGATGTAGCCATTCTCATATTAAATGAAATAGACTTTAAATCAACAAAGGTAAAAAAAAAAGACAAAGATGACAAAAATGGTCATTATATAATGTTAAAGGGAGCAATTCAATAAGAAGACATAACAACTCTAAATATATATGTAGCTAATGCAGAAACTCACACATTCATAAAGCAAATTCTTCTAGATCTAAGCAAAGAAATAAACAGCAGCATCTTAATTGCCGGAGACTTCAGCACCCCACTGACAGAACTAGAGAGATCATGTCTAAGCAGAAAATGAATAAAGAAACATTGGAATTAAACAAGACTCTAGAACAAATGTACCTAACAGACATTTACAGAACATTCTACTCCAAAACTACTGAATCTAAATTCTTCTCATCAGCACATGAGACATTCTCCAAGACTGATCATATCTTAGGCCACAAAACAAGTCTCAGAAAATTCAAAATAGTCAAAATCATATCATGTATCTTCTCAGACCACAGTGGAATAAAACTAGAAATCAATTCCAAGAGATATAATCAAATCCAAGTAAAGTAGTGTAAATTAAACAACCTGCTGCTGAATGATTCTTGGGTCAATGATGAAATTAAGATGGAAATAAAAAGATTCCTTGAACTGAACGAAAAAGAGAACACAAATTTTCAAAAACTATGGGATACAACATACACAGTCCTAAGGGGAATGTTCATAGCCTTAAATGCCTAAATCAAAAAGACAGAAAGATCACAATTAACAACCTAATGTCACATCTAAAAGAACTAGAAAAAGAAGAACAAACCAAACCTAAAATCAGCAGAAGAAAAGAAATACCAAAGCTCAGAGCAGAACTAAATGAAATGAAAACAAACAAACAAAAAACAAAAGATCAATGAAACAAATATTTGGTTCTTTGAAAAGATAAAACAAAGTTGATACAACACTAACCAGATTAGCCAGAAATAGAAGAGAAAGAAATAAACTCAATAAGAAATGAAAAAGAATACATTACAACTGATACTGCAGAAATACAAAACATTATCTTGGAATACTGTGAAAATATCTATGCAAACAAACTAGAAAACCTAATGGAAATGGATAAATTCCTGGAAACACGCCACCTCCCAAGTCTGAATCAAAAAGAAATAGAAATCCTGAACAGACCAATAATAAGCAGTGAGATTAAAGCAGTAATAAAATATTTATCAATAAAAAAAAGCCCTGGTTTAGACAGATTTACAGCTGAATTCTACCAGACTTACAAAGAAGAACTGGTATCTATCTTACAGAAATTATTCTATAATATGGAGATGGAGGGAATCCTCCCTAACTCATTCTATGAAGCCAGTATCACCTTGATATCAAAGCAAGTAAAGGACACAACCAAAACATATAACTACAGACCAATATCCCTTATAAACATAGATGCAAAAATCCTCAAGACAATATTAGCAAACATAATTCACCAATGAATCAAAAAGATACTCCACCATGTTCAAGTGGGTTTCATCCCAGGATTACACAAATGGTTCAACATATGCAAATTAATAAACGTGATTCACCACATTAAACAGAGACCATATGATCATCTCGATAGATGCAGAAAAAGCATTAAATAAAACCCAGCACCTTTTCATGATTAAAACACTCAACAAACTAGGCATAGAAGGAAAATATCTCAAAATTTTAAAAGCCTTATGTGAAAAACCCACTGCCAACATCATACTTAATGGGGAAAAGTTGAAAGCGTTCCCCCTAAGAACTGGAATATGACAAGGGTGCAGTGCCCACTGAAACTTCTATTTAGCATAGTATTGGAAGTCCTAGCCAGAGCAATCAGGCAAGAGAATTAAATAGAAGGCATCCGAATTGGGAAAGAGGAGGTCATACTATTTCTGTTTGTTTATGATATGAATTTATATCTAGAAAACCCTAAAACTCCACCAAAAGACTCCCAGAATTGATAAGCAAATTCAGCAAAGTATCAGGTTACAAAATCAATGTACACAAATCAATAGCATTTATATATATACACACTATATAGTGTATATATGCATTATATATACTATATATTCTCTATATACACTATATATTATATATACACATACTTATATATATATATTATCTATATACTAATAACAGTGAAGCTGAGAGTCAAACCAAGGACTCAATACCATTCACAATAGCTACAAAGAAAATAAAATACCTAGGAGGTATTAACCAAGGAGGTGAAAGATCTCCACAAGAACTGCAAAGCACTCACAAAAGAAATTACAGATGGTGCAAATGAATGGAAAAGCATCCTTTGCTCATGAATTAGCAGAATCAACATTGTTAAAATGTTCAAACA